ACACCCCCACCCGACCCCCCCATCACCCGCAGCCCTGTGTCACCCCCCATCCCCCCCCCCCCATCACTGCAGGACCCCAGTGTGTCCCCCCCGGGACCCCCCATGTCACCCTGAACCCCAATGTCACCCCCCCGGGGTCCCCTGATGCCCCCCCATGTCACCCTGAACCCAATGTCACCCCCCCGGGGTCCCCTGATGCCCCCCCATGTCACCCCAGGGCTTCCTGCCACCCCCATGTCATCCTGGGACCCCAATGTCACCCCCATGTCACCTTTGGGACCCTAATGGCACCCCAGGGCCCCCCCCCCCCCCAGTGTCCCCTCATGTCCCAGGGTCCCCCCGTCCCAGTGCCACCCCATGTCCCCAGTGTCTCCCCACACCCGGTGCCACCCCACACCCAGGGTCCCCCCATGTCCTGTTGCCCCCCCACACCCCAGTGCCACCCCCTGTCCCCAGTGTCTCCCCACACCCCGGTGCCACCCCACACCCCGGGGTCCCACCATGTCCTGTTGCCCCCCCACACCCCAGTGCCACCCCGTGTCCCCAGTGTCTCCCCACACCCCAGTGCCACCCCACACCCCGGGGTCCCCCCATGTCCTGTTGCCCCCCCATGTCCCAGTGCCACCCCGTGTCCCCAGTGTCTCCCCACACCCCAGTGCCACCCCACACCCCGGGGTCCCCCCATGTCCTGTTGCCCCCCCATGTCCCAGTGCCACCCCGTGTCCCCAGTGTCTCCCCACGTCCCGGTGCCACCCCACACCCCGGGGTCCCCCCATGTCCTGTTGCCCCCCCATGTCCCAGTGCCACCCCGTGTCCCCAGTGTCTCCCCACGTCCCGGTGCCACCCCACACCCCAGGGTCCCCCCATGTCCTGTTGCCCCCCCATGTCCCAGTGCCACCCCGTGTCCCCAGTGTCTCCCCACACCCCGGTGCCACCCCACGGCCCGGGGTCCCCCACACCCCAGTGCCACCCCATGTCCCCAGTGTCTCCCCACGTCTGGGTGCCACCCCACAGCCCGGGGTCCCCCACGTCCCGGTGCCTCCCCGTGTCCCCAGGGGGGTGGACCTGGTGGTGGAGGTGGCACATCCCTGTGTGGCCCGGGAGCACGGCGAGGACATCCTGGCCCACGCCGACTTCATGGTGGGGCCGGGGGCTGGGGACAGCGGGGACAGGGTGGCGGGGGGCAGGTTGGGGACAGTGGGGATGGGGTGGCAGGGACATGGGGGCTTGGGGAGGATGGGGACAGAGGGGCTGGCATTTTGGGGACATGGGGACACTGGGGACAGCAGGGAGCTTGGGGACAGCTCAGGGACAGGGTGGTGGGGACATGGGGAGGTTGGGGACAGTGGGGATGGGGTGGGGGGACATGGGGACAGTGGGGATGACAAGGAGGTTGGGGACGGCTGGAGACAGGCTGGTGGGGACACTGGGGACAGCGGGGACATTGGGGGGCAGTGGGGGTGGGGGGGTGGGGACAGAGGGGACGCGGGGGACAGTGGGACCATGGCGGGTGGTGGGGATGGGGGGGGGACACCACGGGGGCTGAGCCGCTGTCCCCAGCTGGGGTCCCCCACGGCGCTGGCTGACCCCGAGACCGAGCGGCGGCTGCGGGGGGCGGCGGCGCGGGGGGGCCACACGCTCTACGTCCCCCGGGGCGCCCTGTGGGCTGCGAGGACATCCAGCGCATGGACCGGGCTGGCACGCTGGCCGTGAGCCACCCGTGGGGACACCGGGGGCGGGGGGGCACCCCCGGGCGGGGGGCAGGCGAGGGGTGGGACGCTGTGGGGTTGGGGACACCGGGGAATGGGACGTCGTGGGGTTGGGGACACGGCGGGGTGGGGGACAGTGCGGGATGGGACATCGCGGGGTTGGGGACGCCACGGGGTGGGGATGCCATGGGGTTGGGGACACCAGAGGGTTGGGGACACTGAGGAAGTGGGGCAACATGGGGTTGGGGACACCAAGGGGTTGGGGACAACGAAGGGGTGGGACACTGTGGGGTTAGGGACATCATAGGGTTTGGGCGATGCTGTGGGGTTGGGGACACCATGGACTTGGACATTGTGGGGTTGGGGACACCACAGGGTGGGGATGCCATGGGGTTGGGACACCAGAGGGTTGGGGACAACGAAGGGGTGGGACATCGTGGGGTTGGGGACACGGCGGGGTGGGGATGCCATGGGGTTGGGGACACTGTGGGGTTGGGGACACTGTGGGGTTGGGGACAACGAAGGGGTGGGGATGCCGTGGGGTTGGGGACACTGTGGGGTTGGGGACAACGAAGGGGTGGGACATCGTGGGGTTGGGGACACGGCGGGGTGGGGATGCCGTGGGGTTGGGGACACTGTGGGGTTGGGGACACCAAGGGTTGGGGACAAGGAAGGGGTGGGCCATTGCGGGGCCAGCAACAGTGTCTGTATTGGGGACCAGGTCCAGGTTTTGCGGGGGGGACACACGCCCGAGGTCGGGGTTTGGGGACAGTCTGAGGTTGGGGACATCGGCGGGTTGGGGACAGCGCTTGGGTGACTCCAATCTGGGGTTCGGGGGACGGGACCTGGCCTCGGGGACCAGGTTTGGGGGGACAGAGGTGTGTGTGTCCCTGTGTCCCCCCCCCCCCCGCCCCGCCGCCCCCAGGCGCTGAAGGTGACGATGACGAAGGCCCCGCAGAGCTTCCGCCTGGAAGGGTGGCTGCAGGAGCGGCTGGCGGCGGCGGGGGGGGCGCGGTCGGTGCTCTACGAGGGTCCCCTCCGGCCCCTCTGCCCCCTCGCCCCCAACAACGTCAACACCATGGCGGCCGCGGCCGTGGCCGCCCCCCGGCTCGGTTTCGACGGCGTCCGCGCCTGTTTGGTGGCCGACCCCAGGTGGGTGTCGTGTCCCCCCCCCCCGGAATGTCCCGCACATGGGGACGGGGGGGGGGTGTGTCCCCAAGAATGTCCAGCACATGGGGACGGGGGTGTCCCCCCCCCCGAATATCCAGCACATGGGGACGGGGGGGGGGTGTGTCCCCAAGAATGTCCAGCACATGGGGACGGGGGTGTCCCCTGACCCCGGAATGTCCAGCACATGGGGACGGGGGTGTCCCCCCCCCCGAATATCCAGCACATGGGGATAGGGGTGTGTGTGTGTCCCCAAGAATGTCCAGCACATGGGGACGGGGGTGTCCCCCCCCCGAATGTCCAGCACATGGGGACGGGGGGGGTGCGTGTGTCCCCAAGAATGTCCAGCACATGGAGACGGGGGTGTCCCCCGCCCCCGGAATGTCCAGCATGTGGGGACGGGGGGGGTGCGTGTCCCCAAGAATGTCCAGCACATGGGGATGGGGGTGTCCTGTCCCCCCCCCCCCCGAATGTCCAGCACATGGGGACGGGGGGGGTGTGTGTCCCCAAGAATGTCCAGCACATGGGGACGGGGGGTGTCCCCCCCCCGAATATCCAGCACATGGGGACGGGGGGGGGTGCATGTCCCCAAGAATGTCCAGCACATGGGGTGTCCCCCCCCCCCCCGAATATCCAGCACATGGGGACGGGGGGGGTGCATGTGTCCCCAAGAATGTCCCGCCCGTGGGGACGGGGGTGTCCCCCCCCCCCCCGAATATCCAGCCCGTGGGGACAGGGAGCAAGAAGGGGGGGGGGGCTGCGTGTCTCGTCACAACCCCGCGGTGCGTGTGTGCGTGTGCGTGTGCGCGCGTGTCCCCAATGTCCCCGCAGTGTCCCCGACTGGCACCTCGTGGAGGTGGAGGTGACGAGCGTGGGGGACGCGGGGCGGGCGCTGAGCGTCACCAGCACCCGCCGCAACCCGGCGGCACCGGGGGCTGTCACCGGCCAGGCCACCCGCCACGCCTTCTGGAGCAGCCTGCAGGGTGGGGGACCCCCCCCGTGTCCCCCCATGTGTGTCCCCCCCCCCGCCACCTCCCCACATCCCCCCACCCCTCGGCCACCCACGTCCCTGGGGCACGTTCCCCCCGGTCCTCTCTGTCCCCCCCGTACATCCCCCAAACTCACGACGCCCCCCAAGTCCCCTCCATCATCTCCCCGTGTCCCCCCATGTCGTGTCCCCCCAACTTCTCCCCGTCCCCCCCCAACCTCAGCGGCCCCCCCCTTGTCCCCAGTCCCCCCCCCATCTCCCCATGTCCCTGTCCCCCCATACCCCCCAATGTCCCCAGTACGCCCCCATGCCCCCAGTGCCCCCCCAAGTCCCCAGTCCCCTCCACATCCCCCCCACGTTTCCAGTGTCCCCCCCCCCCCCCCCCCCGCCCCCCCCAGCCCCCCAATCACTCCCGCCTGTCCCGCCCCCCCCAGCCTGCCACGGACATGGCGGATGCGTCCAGCTCTGCTGAAGCCGCCGGACCGCGGACAGCCCGAGGGACGGACGCGTGTGTGGGGGGGACAGACCGACGGACAGACGCGTGGGGGGGGGACAGACCGAGGGACATTAAAGGCACCGGCACCGCGGCGGCTGCGCCTCGTCACGCCTGGGGGGGGGGCGGCGCGGGGCATCATGGGAGGAAGGTCCGAGGCCGCTTGTTGGGGGATGGTGCGCAAAGCACGACGGGAGGAAGGTCCGCTCGCCCGCTGCCTCCGCCTGGCAGTGTGCGCTGCGGCGCAGGGCACGACGGGAGGAAGGTCCGCGCCCGCCGCCTGGCTGGGGGAGCTGGAGTCGGGTGCGGCGCAAGGCACGCTGGGAAGAAGGTCCCGGCCCGGCAGCCGCGTGGCACGCCGGGAGCCGTAGTTCCGAGCCCCGGTGGGGGGGGTTGGGGGGGGCGGGATGCGGCCTCCGGCGGCCTCGGAGGATTCTCGGGGTGCGCTGGGCCGGGCCGGGGGGTTCGGGGGGAGCTGGGGGGGGGAACGGGGAGCGCCCAGGGGGTCCCGGAGGGTCCGCGGCGAGGGGGGGAGGGGCTGGCTGTCCCCCGCCAGGGCCTGGGGGGGCGGCGGGGGGGGCCGCAGGGGCCGGAGGGGTGTTTGAGGCCTGGGAGTTGGGTGGTTTTTGTTTTGTTTTTTTTTTTTTGTTTTTTTTTTCTTTTTTAGCGGGGTGGGGGCTGTCCCGAGGGAGACCTGGGAGTGTTTTAGGGGTGGGGGGGTCTGGAGGAGGCCAGGAGGGTTTGGGGGTGTCTGAGGGGTGCTGGGGGCTTTTGGTGGGTCGGGAACCGCGCCTGCGAAGGGTTTGGGGGTGCGGGGGGGGAATATCTGGGGCTGCTTGTCCTGGAGGGGGTTTGGGGGGGGGTGGGTGGTTCTGGGGGGCTGAGGAGGACGTGGGGGGGTTCCTGGAACTGGGAGGGGAGCGGTGGGGGTTGTTTGGGGGGGTGGGGGGGTTGGGGGTGCAGGGACTTGGAGGGCCCAGGGGTGTCGGGGGGGGGGGACGACTGAGGGGTGTGGGGGGGGCTTTGCCAGGCTGTTGCTGTTTGGGGGTGTCTGGGGGATCCTTGGGGGGGGGGCTGGATGGGCAGGGTGTGCCTGGTGAGTGTTTGGGGGTTCTTGTGGGGGTGCGTGTGTGTGTGTGTGTTTTGGTGATGCGGGGGGGTGCCCGGGGGGGTTGGGGGAACCTGAAGGGTCTTAGGGAGCCTGGAGGGGGGGTTGGAGGGGGGGCTGGGGAGCTGTCGGGGGGGGTCTAGAGGGTTTTTGGGGGGGCTGATGGATGGGGTGTGTGTGCCTGGGAGGTCTGTGGGTGCAGGGGGGGTGTGGGTGTCTCTGGGGGGTTCAGGAGAGTGTCTGGAAAAGTTGGGGGGCACCTGGGAGGGGTTTGAGGGATCCTGGGGGGGGGCCCTGGGGTGCAGGGGAGGGTGGCTGGAAGGTCTTTGGGGAGGGGGGGTGTGAGGGGGGCGGGTACAGAAGGGTGTCCGAAAGATTTTAGGAGGGGTGGGGTGTGCTGAGATTAGGGGGTCCCACCACTTGCTCCCCCCTCCTCAAATTCCCCCCCCCCCCCCCCGGGACTTTCAGGGGTGCCCAGCAGAGCTGACACGCTCCCCTCCTTAAATTTCCCCCCCCCCCCTTCCAACTCGCTCAGGCAGCCGGGGTCCCCCGGACCCCAGGGCCATGTCGGGGTCCCCCCTCCCCTCGGCGGCGGAAGGGGGGGGCCCGCCGGGGGGGCTCTACCACGAGCGGCAGCGCCTGGAGCTCTGCGCCCTCCACGCGCTCAACAACGTCCTGCAGCGACCCTGCTTCACCCAGGAGGCCGCCGACGAGATCTGCAAGAGGCACGGGGCCCCCCCTTTGTCCTGCCTGCCACCCCCCTGGTTACTTCACCTTATTTTGCTTATTTCTCTCTTTTTTTTTTTTTTTTTTCCCCCCCCCTCCCAGGTTGGCCCCCGACGCCCGCCTCAACCCCCACCGCAGCCTTTTGGGCACCGGCAACTACGACGTGAACGTCATCATGGCCGCGCTGCAGAGCCTGGGGCTGGCGGCCGTTTGGTGGGACAAACGCCGGTGCGACCGCGTCCCCAGACACCCCCCACCTCTATTTATTTTTGTAGCCCCTTCCTCACCCTCTTCTTTTTCCCCCCCCACCCCGGCAGGTCGCTGGAGCGCTTGGTGCTGGGCCAGATCTTGGGGTTCATCCTCAACGTCCCCTCTCACGTCTCGCTGGGCTTCGTGGCGTTGCCGCTGCGCCGCAAGCACTGGTTGGCCGTCCGGCAGCTCCGCGGCACCTACTACAACCTCGACTCCAAACTCCGGGCGCCCGTCCCCATCGGCGGTGAGGCCGAGCTCAGGTGGGTGACGCCGGGCGACCCCCGTGGGTGACGCCCACAGGGACACGGGTGACACCCCCGCCTCTCCCTCCGGCAGGGCTTTCCTGCGGGATTTTCTCTCCCAAGGGCTCTGCGAGGTTTTCCTTGTCGTGCCGCGCGCCGTGGAGGAAGCCGGCGCCTGGCTGAGCCCCGAGTGACTCGGCACACGCCATCAGGGTGGCCGTGACAAGGTGACGCCAGCGTGGGCCGCTGCCCTCCCTCTGCTTTGGGATGAAACCGCAACGCTTTGGGTCTTTATCCAGGCGCTGCTCATCTGGAGCGGGGAGGGTTTGTTATGCTACAAACCCAGATGGTTTGGGGGAGCTGCGGGGACCCCGGAGCGTGTGCCCGCTGTCACCGCGTCGCCGCGGTGCTTCAATTCCCTGATTTCGCCCCGATTTCGCCTCCTTCCGTCACCGGGATTCCTCTGCGGGCGTGCGAGGGGGTCGCGGGTGTCGTAGCCGACGTCGCACCGCTCGGTTAAACGCGTGTCCTGGCCCGGTTTACGCGTGTCTCCCGTGTCGCTTGTGCACGTTCACGCAGCGGCGTCGCGCACCCGGCGTTCCGCTTGTGCATGTCACCCACCCGCCGTGCCGGACACGCGTGTCGCACACCGGTTGGTGCGTGTCGCTCGTCGCTTGCACGCCTTTCCCGGCTCCTGCAGAGGGGTCACGTCTCCGGCGCCGCGGTTCTTCCCAGCCAACCTTCCCGGCACGGGCGTTTTGCGGTGGTGCTGCCCAGAAAGGTGATTAAAAAACTGCCGGTTTACAGCTCTGGGGGCTCCGTCGCCGTTTTTTGGGGTTTGTCCAGTCGCTCCTGTTTGGGCTCAGCGCAGGAATCTGGGGCTGAACCATCCCGAAAATCCCCAAATCTGACCCAAATTCAGCAACGCGGCCCTCGCAGCCCGGCTCGGCCGGGATTCCCTGGGCTGCAGGGAGGAATAAAGAGCCTGAAATTGAAATAGGGAGGAGGGTCTGTGTCCGGGGCTGAATCTGGGGGGGTTGAGGGGACGCGGGGAGGCGGCCGGGGGGGTCCCGGGGGCCGCGTCGCTGCGCTGAGGCGGCTCCAAAGGGCGCGCTCTGATTGGTTCTCCCCCCTCAACGCGCGCAGCCAATAGCCGCGCGCCGTTTGGATCCGCCCTCTCCCATTGCGGAGCGGCCATCGTGGCGCTAGAGCCGGGAGAAGACGGGCGGCCGGGAGGTTGCTCTCAGCGCTCCCTGGTGGTCTAGTGGTTAGGATTCGGCGCTCTCACCGCCGCGGCCCGGGTTCGATTCCCGGTCAGGGAAGTTAAATTTTTTTTTTTCCTTTTTTAACTTCTCCCTTCCTTTTCATTTCCACCCAGCCCTGAACGTTCACGCCACGGCGCGTCCTCCCTGTTTGAGTGCGCTGGGGTAGTGGTGGGGCAGCCAGTGAAAAAAACCCCACAACCAACCAAAAATAATAAAAGCAGGGGTTTGGGATAAAAGAGCCACCACGCGTCACCCTCCCGCTCCAGGCGCGGCCGGGCGGAGGCACCGCTGGGATTCGAACCCAGGATCTCCTGTTTACTAGACAGGCGCTTTAACCAACTAAGCCACGGCGCCGCTCTCGCCCCGCCGCCACCCTCGCCTTCCATCTCCGGCACGCGCCCCCCCCCCCCCCCCCCGCGTATCCCCCGCCCCTTCCACGCGTGATCGCGACACCCGCGGGGGATCTCCCGCCCTCCGTGGTTCCGTCGCGCGGGGGGGGGGGGAACGCGCCGACCCGCGGGGCGGTTGAGGCACCGGCGGCCGCCGCCCGCCGCGTCCTCGTTAGTATAGTGGTGAGTATCCCCGCCTGTCACGCGGGAGACCGGGGTTCGATTCCCCGACGGGGAGGCCGCTGCTCCTTTTCCCGGTGCATTTCACCCCCCCCGCCTCCGCCCCTTGGCCGGCCAAGCGCTTGTTCTCTTCCTCAGTAAAAAATAAAAAAAGTTGGATTCGCTTTTATTATTTTTACGGGTGATTTTTTTTATTTCCCCAGCCGCTCGGAACGGTTTAACGGGGGAGGCCGGCCCCCATCGCCCGAAGGGGGAGCGGGCGAGTCGGTAACACACAAACCGCGTCACGCCTTCCCCACGCAAGGACTGACGTCAGCCCCGCAGAGCCCATTCAGTATTACGAAGCATTGCTACGACAGCGCTGCAGAAGCGCGATCGCCCGCGCTGAGAGGGGGGGCGGCACGCGCCGACCCCCGCCCACCCGCTCACCCCGCCGCGGACTGAGCGCCGCGCTGCCTCCGCCAGTATTTATAGCGTCCGTGCGAGCGGACCTGAGTGGGAACGGCAAACGGCGCCCTGCCGCCCCGCCTACTGCCGCCTCCTCGTCTCCTCCTGACCAATCGCGACGCTCCCCTCACCCACCAATCAGACGGCGGCCCTGCGGTTTAAGCCCAGGGGTTTGGCGCGAACGCGGGAGCGTTTCCCGCCCGCGGGTTTCGTGCTGCTGCTGCTGCTGCTGCTGCTGCTGCTGCTGCTCCTGCTCCTGCTCCTGCTCCTGCTCTCGGTCGCCGCCGGTAAGAAAACTCGCCCCCACGCAGCAGAGAAACAAGCGCTTCTTTATTCCAGCGCTGGGGAGCACGGGGGGTAGCTCCGCCGAAGCCGAAAATTCAGCCGCAACAGCTGTCGTAGCTATTTAGCAGGTAATTATTTGGCACATCAGACACATAGGGGATCGTTCCTCCCAACGTGTGCTGCGCCGTGGTGGAGTTTGTGATGTTGATACACAATTCACTTACATATTCATGTACTTTCCAAGAACTATTTACAATATTAATTATTTTTCCAATAAATCATTATAATACATTCCCACCTACATCTTCACGCGCACTACAGGCTCTAGGTGGTCTTCTACTTCATCCTCATCTTCATCACAGCGTCTTTCTGTGAACTTGGGTCTGTCTTTCCCTTTCCCTTACAGCAGAGACCACGAAACAAGTTGCCTCTGGTAGCTCTGCAAGCTTCAGCGTCTTTCTTTCATTATCTTGCTCTTCCTAGGGAGGAGTGCACCGAAATCACATAAGGAGACCGGCTCAAGCCTGTTAATCGCAGATAAAGTGTAGCTTATTGCTTCGTTAGGCGTATTCCTAAGCAGAACTATGACCATACTAGTATTACATTAAACAGTCTTGTAAGCAGCTTGCTGCTGCTGACAATTTGTAATTTTCCGTATGTCTTCCCTCTTCAATCCTTCGGCTGATCGCCCAGACCCAGGCCAGTTTCTTCTGGTACCCATCGTTAATTAATTCGGAGTCCATAACCATTTCCATAGTGATCAAGGCCAACACAACGCGAGTTGCTCGTGCCTAAGGGCTTAAACGTATCCTCTGTTCTCACAGCTGCTGTAATTCTGTATCGCCCATATAACCAAAAATCATATTCTAAAATTCGAGCTGTTTCATGAGGGTATTTGTAAATTGTGATACCAATGTTGTCCCTCAAATGGTTTGTCACCAGGTGTGCAAAAAGCCCGGCTTACACGGAGAGCCGAGATCAGTTTATCCCATATTTGTGCAAAGCCAGGGGCTGAGTGGTAATTCCACAAAGCCATAAACCAATTTTAGCTGGCTCAGGAGAGATGCTGTATTTTATTCCGGCCTGGGGGCTCGGTGGGTTTTCCACAAATCGAGCACCCCAAGAGCAGGTTCAGGTGCTTCTTTTATACACAGAAATCACAGGTTAGTACTTTTCCAAACACGCCCATTCGATACTGATTGGTCAGTGATTATAATATAATTATAATACAGATTACATGAGGCTTTTACCTCCATGCGTGCCCAGGGGAAGGGCCTTTAACCTGGGCAGGGCTCGTTTTGACCTGGATGTGTGTTTTTTAGTATTATAACAAAGGCAGTTCACTTCAGGACACTTTAAAAGTTAGTTTCATTGCCCACTTACTTAATTGAATAGTCACCTGGCCAGGTTGTCAAATAACTCATCCTCAACACAATCCCAGATATTCTTATTATGACCCAAGACGTTCTACCTGATTTCCAAAGTCTATTTATTCTTCATGAATTCCTCATCTCTAATCAACCTCACCTCGACCGCTATTCAAACTTTTGCTCAACCAATTTCCAGGGCCTTGCAGTTGCCCCCCGATGTCTGGTAACTACAACGACCATCGATTTGACGTGTGCTGGCTATTGCCTGGAACCCAATCTAGAGAACCGACTGCTTTGCAATTTCTTAACAATCCTCTTTGCCCTGAATGTTATTCGGACGCCTTGAATGTTCCTTTGAGACTTGTTTATTAGAGACTGGTGCCCAAGCTTATCAGGGACCGGTATTTGTCCAGGGCTGTGTGTCAGGCACAGGGGAGACAACAAGAATAACAGTGTCAGTCTGCCCATAAAACTGGTTAAAGTCCGTCAAGAAGCTGCTGAGATCACCAAGTACGAAGAGAGCATGCACGGATGAGGAGGAGCAGCCTTTGCTTTCCAAACTCTGGAAAGTAGGCAATTCATTAGGTCATAACACAATCAACCCCTGACATCCTTGTCAATCACAAAGTGACTAATCGATTGATTAACTTGGCAGTGTGAGTAGCTTTTAAAGTGTCCTAAAAGTGACCTACCTTAATTATAATATTAATACCAGGTCAAAACGAGCCCTGCCCAGGTTAAGACCCTTCTCCTGAGCACGGGTAGTGATAGAAGCATTATGTAAACCATATTGGGATTGTGTTTTAACCACCAACCAGCCAGTATCAAATAGGTGTGTTTGGAAAAGTCCTAACTTCTGATTTTTGTGTATAAGAGAAGCATCAAAACCTGCTGCTAGGTGAGCTTGATTTGTGGAAAACCCACCGAGCCCCCAGGCCTGAATAAAATACAATATCTCTCCCGAGCATGTTATGATTGTCTCCTTGCACGCTGGGCATGAATCTGCTTTTCAGGCAACAATCTCCCCCCGTTGTCTTTACTTCTCCCCCAGTTACCCCAGATTTTTGCTGCCTTCATGCTTCTTGGACAATCATCCAGCCTTTGGTGCCTTCAGGGGTAGGACCGTTCCCCTCTTACCAGTCTGTTGTGGTTTGAGCCCGGTCAGCAGCCGAACACCACGCGGCCGCTCACTCCTCCCTTCCCCCCCAGCGATGGGAAGGCCTGGGGTTTGAGATAGGACCGGGAGGGGCAGATCACCCGTTACGGTCACGGGTGAAAGGCAGACTGGTTAGGGGAAGAAAAAAAAGAACATACATTTATTACAGACACTAACAACACATAACAGAGCAGGACAGTGAGAAGCATTGCCACATCTTGAGAACACCTTCCCCCCACCCCTCCCTTCTTCCCGGGCTCAGCTCTGCTCCCGGTATCTCTACCTCCTCCCCCAGGGGCGCAGGGGCAGGGAATGGGGGGTGCAGGCAGTGCTGCCACTTTCTTCATCTTCGGTGAGGGGAGTGTCCGGAACTTGTTCCCTCCTGCTCCATCGTGGTCCCCCTCTCACAGGAGACAGTCCTCCACAAACTTTCTCTGACTTGAATTCCTCCCACGGGCCGCAGCGTTCCCCACACTGCTCCGTCATGGGTCACTAACTTCCTCCGACTGGATTCCCTCCCACGGCTGCAGCCCTTCCCGAGCTGCTCCGGCGTGGGACTCCCCCGCATGCTGCAATCCTCCCAGTGCTGAATTACAGCAGCGGGGCTGCCTTTTCCCATGAGACCCCGGCCTTCTTCGGGCACAGAACCTTGATCATCTGAGCAGGAGCCACAGGCCATAAATCAGTGTCTGCTCCACCGTAGATCTTCATGGGTGGTGGGAGGGGGCTGCCTTGCTGTTGCAGTTACCTTAATAAAATAGCTTGAAGCCTCAAGTATTATTTTGATTTTAGTTTAGAATATGATTTGGATTTTAAAATGGAGTTATAGCAGCTATGAGAATATATAGCCCAGTAAGGCCCTTAGGAGTAGGTAGCTAGTATGGTGTGAGCCTTGAACACTGTACGAATCGTTATGGACTCTGAATTAAAACAATGGGCACTGGTTATGGATCTTGAGTCAAAACAATAGGTACCAGAAGATACTGGGTTTGGTTTGGAAGATCAGCCCCAGAAAGATGAATTGAGCATGTGCGGGGATGGGGTTCAGTCAGCGGACACAGTGAGGAAGACTATCGACGAGCGTCCTACATAACCACGCGTGGGTTGGAGCCATTTGTATATGATAATGACTTCCAGGAAATAACATGGATATGCTAATCATCACCCTCCCCTCTTTGTATTCAAATCAATCAGTAAAGATGAGCAATGATTTCTGTATTTATACTCCCTTAATCATACATATTCATTGCATTTTTATCATATTTATAACTTTCCCGGGAACTCATTTAGGATGTGTTAATGTCTCTTGCACATGTCAGTTGGAGTCTTTGGGTGGTCGCCGGGGGTCTGCAGATGAAGGCTCGTAGTCTTCTTCACTGTGTTTGCCAGTTGACCCTCACTGCTGCTCAAACTCAGTCCTGCGGTCACGTACACCCTGTCCTTCCAGCCTGGCCTGCTCTCGCCTTGGTGCTAATTTGCAGTTTCTTTCTGTTTCTTTGTACCTGCCACTACAAGGCCAAACCGTCTCCAATAAGATTATTTATGAGTGCTCTATCCTGCAGTTGTTCCAACTATTCCTCAAAAGATCAGTATTTGTTCTGCAGCACAATTGTTAAATGGTTAAAACATCTTAAATTGATCTTAATAATTTTATTCCACAAATATATATTTTTGAATAATCTTAGTTTGCGGGTATCACAGGGAAGGTGAGGTAGCTGAAAGCCGATCACTATAGAGGTCAAATTAAGCTTTATGACTTTTGTTGACCTGCTGTAACCATGGCTCTGCCGAAGAAGTGTATAAACACGTGGTGCTTTGTACCTGTCGGGGAACACGTCTTCGGTGGGGCTCTCCCCCGTGTTCCCCAGCGCTGGAACGAAGAAGTGCCGGCTGATCCGCTTTGTGGAGATACGTTCTGTCCGCGATTGCGACCGCTGACACTGCTGTCTCCCCACAGGGTACAGGGGGGTCTCTGCTCCCCCACACCTCCCCCCTCCTTTCTCCCTCCGTTCCCCCACTGACCTTGGTGTTCACGCAGCTGCCCCAACTCCTCCTCACCCCGTCCCTTCTTAAATACGTTCTCGCAGAGGCGCAGCTGATGGGCTCAATTTTTGAGCAGAAGTGGAGCTGACGTGGAGCCGGGGGAGCTTCGAGAAGCTTCTCCCAGGGGGCCGCCCCTATAGCCCCCTCCCCTGCTACCAAAATCCCCTCCACTCCCTGGAACCCAGGACAGAGGCTTTCAGCTCCTCTCCAAGAGTGTGGCCACGAGCAAGGTGCGCGTTACACCGGGCGTACGGCGCAGAGCCGGCAGTTTGCGGCCCTCGTGCTTGAGAAATGTTTATTTCTAAGCCGGCGGTTGGGTCGGGGTCCCCTGG